CAATCATCATAACCCTTTAACTGTCTCTTCTTGAAAAACATGCAGAAAAAAATGTTTCACATTATATTCCTATTACTAACAACTCAAGAACTTCCAATACTTTGGAAATTACAGAGCTCTACCAGGCGGTTGAGAAGTCAAGAGGGTCATACCAGCAATGCCATATTAGATTGGTAATTTGCATTGCATTTTTACTCATTTCAACAATAATGCATAAATGAGTTTAGCTCTGCTTCAATGGCTTTTGTAAGCATTGTTAAATGGGGACGGGTGTCAAATTTGAACAAATTATGGTAATTCTGTTTGTCCAAACATGAATATTTAAATACAGTGAAATTAATGTGTTTCCAGGTGGTGTATAGGTACAATGTACCCCAAAATAGTTTTCTTAAATTTCAAATGATCCATGTTCAGACTACCTTTTGAGACAATATATTACTAAATGCAGTTTATAACTACTATTGCCAACCTTTTGTCTGAATATTGATTAATTGACCCCAAGGGGCATTTATGATACATTGTTGTGTGCTGTCAACAATTCAATCATATTTTTCACCAAAATAAGGATTTTTTATAGAAAATAAATGTACCCTTTTCTTAGTCCACAATACTTCATACTTCATACTGACATATAACTGCCTGGTTGAGCACATATTTTCAAAATTCTTGCTTTTTAGCCTTTTTACATTTTACAACTACTCTTCTACTACCACCTACTCTTCAAGGTCTCTGCTAACAGGAATTGTGCAATATTTATCCATGACCAAGTGAATTCCTGCCTTTTTATCCCATGTCTCCTTTGGTGACTGGTTTTGAGTTTTCTTACCTCCCTCTGAGTGGGCATAAGAGAGCCATAGCACTGAACTGCAGCAACCCAAAATGATACAAATTATGTAAATTGATGCAGGAGGCCTAGGGAACTTGACCAATCAAGTTTAAGTGTATATATTTTTTCATATTCATTTCTAAATCCACTGTCAAAACATGCTCTACCAGCCAGTTGAGAAAGGGGTTAAAGGGATCATCTTTATTTTGTTCTGCTGTGAACTAAACACATACAGTACCTAACCACGTATAAAGGTTTGGTTGCAAGTTCTGTTGTTAAAACTAGTTGTGCACATACAGTATTTCACAATTCAACAATGAAGCAATTTGTCAAATAAAATCAACTTTATTTTACAGTTACAAAAATGATAAATTACAGTTGCGGTCAAATAGATTGTCACCCTTGTATGAGTCAGTATTTCTTCAAAAATAAGTTGAAATAAAAATAAATGGTTGGTGTTCACATGTGTATTTGTTTGATTTACAAATGCACAGGAACAAAAACAAAATCTTAAACTGAAAGAGATTTTTCACTTCAAAGTCAAAAAATGGCCTGGACTAAATAATTTGGTTGGAGGCAAGTTCTCACCTGTGGTAAGTTGCAGGTGCCGACAGGGTAAAAATAGCCATTCAACCAGTTTCGAAAAGAACATTGAAAGAAATCTTTTGTGCATTTATTTATGTAAAGCTTCTAATCTAAAAAACGACTTCTTAACACACACAGATCTGGACAGTGAGATGACACCCACAACAAAAAACATAGACTAGAACTGTGGTGAAATAGGCTTATAAGAGGTCACCCATATATCCCTTACTTCTGCACTGCAATTAATGAGACTCAAAGGAGCCATCTGCCCCCCCCAAATTCTTTTTTTGTTTGTTTGTCTGTGTTTTTGTAAGTTGTGTTATCCGTCCTATGACTATTGTATGCTCATGGATTTCAGTTTGTCTCTCGCTTACTCTAACACACACACACACACACATTAGTGTCTAATGCTTTGTCTACAAACAACTGCTCACTTGGCACACACTGGTTGAATCACCGTTGTTTCCACATCATTTCAATGAAATTATGTTGAACCAACGTAGAATATATGTTGAATTGACGTCTGTGCCCAGTGGGTGGTGCTCAGTCACAGAGCATGAAGAGCCGAATGAGTCGGTCGTAATCTGAGAAATAGCGGCACCCCCTTTTTCCTTCAGAACAGCCTCAATTCGTCGGGGTCATGGACTCTACAAGGTGTCGAAAGCGTTCCACAGGGATGCTGGCCCATGTTAACTCCAATGCTTCCCACATTTGTATCAGGTTTGCTGGTGGACCCTTCTTGATACACACAGGAAACGGTTGAGTGTGAAAAACCCAGCAGTGGTGCAGTTCTTGACACACTCAAATCAAATGTTATTTGCCACATGCACTGAATGCAACAGGTGTAGACCTTACAGTGAAATGCTTACTTACAAGCCCTTAACCAACAATGCAGTTTTAATAAAAAATAAGTGTAAAGAACCGGTGCACCTACTACCTACCAATTCCCATTCAAAGGCACTTAAATATTTTGTCTTGCCCATTCACCCTCTGTATGGCACACATACACAATCCATGTCTCAAGGCTTAAAAATCCTTCTTTAACCTGTCTCCTCCCCTACACCGATTGAAGTGGATTTAACAAGTGACATCAATAAGGGATCATAGCTTTCACCTGGTCAGTCTGTCATGGAAAGAGCAGGTTTTCCTAATGTTTTGTACACTCAGTGTATAGATACTTTTTGTAAATAAGCATAGGCCTACACCACACCAGGAGTAGGCAACCCTGTTCCTGGAGAGCCACAGGGTATGCAGGATTTTGCTTTAACCGACCAAGACCAGGTGTGTTGAATTTAGTCAATCATTGAACTGACCAACTGAGTTTATTGATCAGTTCAGTGGTTGACTAAATTCAACACACCTGGTCATCCAGGTCGGTTAAAGCAAAATCCGGCATACCCTGCAGCTCTCCAGGAACAGGGTTGCCTACCCCTGGTCTACGCAGTTTAATTCATAGCGAATTAGGTGCATTAATTATTTTAAAAGCGTAATCTAGTGGCATATTTGTGTAGGACCTGGTATCTTATTTCTCAGTGAATAATGTATGTAGAAAATGGACGTGAGATTGGTAAACCTACTGTCATGATACGTCTTTTTTGTAAACTGAAGGTAACAGAGTCATCTCCAAGTAGAAGAAATCCTGGACATAAAATAATTTCAACATAAATTCTGATTTATTATATGCCTTCGTCATACTGTATCTCAATAACATTGCCGACCTTTGATACCAACCGCTTGGGGGAGCTACATAGAGGTAAAGAAGCGTTTCCTACGTAATGGATGAGAGCAGTCATTGGATGAGAGCCGTGGGGTGGTCACGAGGTCAGTTACCTACTAAGCATAGGTCGTCACTAGTTACTACAGCCACAAAGTCATAAACCCCGCCTATTTCTACAATTTATCTTCTTAAATTGGGATTTTAAACCTAACCACACTGCTAACCTTATGTATAACCCTAACCTTAAAGTAAGACCAAAACGCTAACTTTGTGGCTGTGGTAACACGCAGCTGTCTAGTGCAAGCGCTATGGCTAGAAGATAGCCTAAATAAACAGCCTGGTCTCATAGACTAGACGTAGCATAGTAAATGTAAATCCGGGATTTTTAAATTAGTTTGATATGTTACGTTTGGTATGGTTACATAAGACAGATGGTTACTTAAGGTTAAAAGAAAAGCAGGGTGGTTGATCAGGATGGGTGGGCTTATAACGCACAAGTCTAGCAACCCAAAGGTTGCGTGTTTGAATCTCATCACAGACAACTTTAGAATTTTAACTATTTAGCAACTATTTTTTTGCTGTTACTTTTTACCCCTTTTTTGTGATATCCAATTGGTAGTTACAGTCTTGTCCCATCGCTGCAACTCCTGTACGGACTCGGGAGAGAGCCATGCGTCCTCCGAAACACTGCTTCTTGACACACTGCTCGCCTAACCCGGATGCCAGCAGCACCAATGTGTCGGAGGAAACCCTGACATCGCTGGGCCATGTGCGCCGCCTCAAGGGTCTCCCGATCGCGGCCGGCTGCGACACAGCCCGGGATCAAACCCGGGTCTGTAGTGACGCCTCAAGCACTGCGATGCAGTGCCTTAGACCGCTGCGCCACTCGGGAGGCCCGCTAATTAGCAACTTTAACTACTTACTACTTTCTAGCTACTTTGCAACTACTTAGCATGTTAGCTAACCCTCCCTCTAACCCTTTAACCTAACTCCTAAACTTAACCCTAACCTTAACCCCTAGCCAACATTAGCCAGCTAACTAACGTTAGCCACTTAGCTATAATTTGTGACATTCTATTCGGTTTGCAAATTCGTAGCATATTGTACGTTTTGCAAATTGGTAACATATTGTACGTTTTGCAAATTCGTAACATATAATAACAATTGTAATTCGTAACATATCATATAAAACGAGTGATGGACATCCACAAAGTAATACATACCATACGAAACGTAACATAAATGGAGTGTCTCGGATTTACCTACAGAATGGATGCTGATGTTGTAGTTTCAATGAGCAAGGAAGGGGGAATAGGCAAAAAGCCTGATATGGACAGTGATGGTGCAGAGATGGCAGGAGCAGTGGAATAGCAATACTAAGGGCAGGCATAGTATTGCCCTTAATACTAGCTGCTTATAAAGCCCATTGAAGAAGTACGTACATAATAATACGATATGCTTTAAGACCAGGTTGCAGCAAAACACTGTGCATCGTCGACCTCAATCACAAATTGAAATAGGCTAAATTAGCTAGCTAGCTAATTGACCAAAGCTCAACGGGGTGAGGAGAGATAAGTATCTCAAGCTAACGTAACCTAGCTAGCTTAGCTAAATTAACAGTTCTGTCATTTTCGCCGGTCAATAAGCATTAAAGGGCGAACTGTGGACTTTGTGCGTGGGAAGAATCTCTTGCTACCGTTAGTTGTCAGTGGTTAGCTAGTTGTCTTTCGTTTCGAGGTCATCCTCACCAGTGTGTATCGAGTTAGCTAACGTTACAGCAAGCTTTTTGGAGTCTGTAAGCTTGACTAGGTAGCTAACAATTTAGCTAACTAACGTTAGCTGAAAGTCGTCTTCAGTTGGAAAAGACCAGACATGAAGAGTCTTCCATATTTCTGCCGGGGGGAAGTCGTTCGAGGATTCGGGCGAGGAAGCAAAGAACTAGGGATTCCCACAGGTAACGTTAAACGTAGCTAAACGGTATCATCTAAAGATGTTTGTGATTATGTTAACGTTATGCTTCACCGGCATGTTTTGATAATAATTTGATAATTTGACTTCACTACTTAGCTAACTACTGATGTTGGCAGCTAGCTAGCTAGAGAGATTCTATATGCCTTGCGCTTGTATCGCGCTAGCACTTTTTAGCTAGTTACCTAGGCTTTGCTATGACTGAAGGAGGATTCCGAGTTAGCTGATAACGAACCCCCTCATCTGTGGTTTTACGCTACGTGGGCTGCACACTGTCTGTGTCGCAATCCCTGTGATGATAGTTACCGAACTAGCCTGTGACATTATTACTATTAGTTAGGCTAGGTAGGTAACGGTGCCTAACGTTAGTTAGTTAGTTACATTACGGTAGGCCAACTCTCTATTTTCATACAACTTCATTACTCGTCAAAGTTGTCATCTGACCGAACTATAATCGACAACGACTCATGTTTGCAAGCTAGTTAACGTTTGACTGTAGCCACAAAAGCAATCGCTAACTGTGTTGATTGACCAAGCTAACGAACTAGACTTTTGACCTGACTTCCTCAAAGCAACTCCGCTAGGTAGCTACGTTCGAATTTCCAGTGAAAATTCTAGAAACGAAAGAAGGAAACAATTAGACCCAAATCCATGCTCGAATACAGTTAGTTAACTACAGTTATACAACGGGCGTGTCTAATGCTGATTTGTTAAAACCGTAATCCACAAATTACCACCGGCTAAATCTATGATGTTAAAATGCCTATTTACTCTATTCCATCTGACTGCGCAATCCACTGTCACATAAACCCAGCCAGGCAATCTCTAACATCATCTCCACTATAAAAAGCAGCTAGACATTATCTCAAATTTATTTTAGACTAACATTTAGTTTTCAATAGCAGAGATTTGTATAAACCTTGCTGTCTGTCTCTCCAACATTTGCAACATTGTTTCAATATTCAAATTTGATCTCCAGTTGTGCCATAGTAATGAACATGTCAGGATGAGACAGACAGGCAGGCAGCTTTTCTCAGCCAGTCGAAATCATGAATCAGCATCATTTTTATGTATATATATATACACACACACACACACACACACACACAAAGAACTACCAATAGAAAACATATAGTTTTACTGTCTTTCCAGCTTCAGTTTGAAGTGATTGTGTTAGCTGTGTTGTTGACTAGCGCCTCTGAACAAGTGTCCAGATGAGAGAGCACATTTTGTACACCAGGTGAAATCGCGCATCATTAGCTCATTGTTATGGATGTTTCCAAATAAATGTAACTAAAAATCAAGCTTTAACAACTGCAAATGCAGCTACTTTGCTGTTATTCTGGCTGCACGTAAGTTAGCCGTAGTTGGCTAGCTAGCAAGCAAGGGATAAGAACGTTGCCAGCCAGTATGGCAATGGAACATTTAGAACGAACGACTGGGTCAGATATAGAACATAAAGACTGAACGAATGGGTCGTGTCTCTGGCAACCAAACCTATAGAACGAATGTCCAGCCGGCTTGTGTAGCAACCCTAAATCTTGTGGAAGGATGAAATTGTATGAATAAATGAATCAAAATAACATTTTTAATGAAAATATGTCAATCATTATTTGAATATGTTGGTAACCCTCGAAGCCGGTGTTTGGAGGATATATTGGTACGGTTTGCCAGCCCTCGACTTCGTCTCTGGCCTAACACCCGCGCAGATATATCCTCCAAACACCGGCTTCTCGGGCATTATCACTTTTATACAACGGGTTACCAACATATTCACTTAATTAGCTAACTAGTTAAGTTACCTTACCTTGCTAAGTTGTACTGCTTTCTAGCTAGCTAGTGGACTTGCGCGAAACATTTGACATAAAATGTTGTTTATCACATGCGCAACAGGTGTAGACCTTACAGTGAAACGCTTACTTACAAGCCCTAAACCAACAATGCAGTTTAAGAAAAGGAGAAAGAAAAGTGTTAAGTAAAAAATAGCAAATAATTAAAGAGCAGCAGTAAAATACAATAACAGTAGGGAGGCTATATACAGGGGGTACGGGTACAGAGTCGATGTGCGGGGGCACCGGTAATTGAGGTAATATGTACATGTGGGTAGAGTTAGTGACTATGCATAAATAATAAACAAAGTAGCAGCAGCATAAAAGAGGTGGGTGGGCGTGCAATGCAAATAGTCTGGGTAGCCTTGGTTAGCTGTTCAGGAGTCTTATGGCTTGGGGGTAGAAGCTGTTAAGAAGCCTTTTGGACCTAGACTTGGCGCTCCGGACTGCTTGCCGTGCGGTAGCAGAGAGAACAGTCTATGACTAGGGTGGCTGGAGTCTTTGACAATTTTTAAGTCCTTCTTCTGACACCGCCTGGTATAGAGGTCCTGGATGGCAGGAAGCTTGGCCCCAGTGATGTACTGGGCCGTACGCGCTACCCTCTGTAGTGCCTTGCGGTCGGAGGCCGAGCAGTTGCCATACCAGGCAGTGATGCAACCAGTCAGGATGCTCTCGATGGTGCAACTGTATAACTTTTTGAGGATCTGAGGACCCATGCCAAATCTTTTCAGTCTCCTGAGGTGGAATTGGCGTTTGTCGTGCCCTCTTCACGACTGTCTTGGTGTGTTTGGACCATGATAGTTTGTTGGTGATGTGGACACCACAGAACTTGAAGCTCTCAACCTGTTCCACTACAGCCCCGTCGATGAGAATGGGGGCGTGCTCAGTCCTCTTTTTTTCCCCCCTGTAGCCCACAATCACCTCCTTTGTTTTGATCACGTTGAGGGAGAGGTTGTTATCCTGGCACCACATTGCCAGGTCTCTGACCTCCTCCCTATAGGCTGTCTTGTCGGTGATCAGGCCTACCACTGTTGTGTCGTCGGCAAACTTAATGATGGTGTTGGAGTCGTGCCTGGCCATGCAGTCATGGGTGAACAGGGAGTACAGGAGGGGACTGAGCACGCACCCCCTGAGGGGCCTCCGTGTTGGGGATCAGCGTGGCAGATGTGTTGTTACCTACCCTTACCACCTGGGTGCGGCCCGTCAGGAAGTCCAGGATCCAGTTGCAGAGGGAGGTGTTTAGTCCAAGGATCCTTAGCTTAGTGGTGAGCTTTGAAGGCACTATGGTGTTGACATGACGTTAAAGGTACACTGCGTGGCCAAGAGGATGAGGACACACCTTCAAATTAGTGGATTCGGCTATTTCAGCCACACCTGTTGCTGACAGATGTATAAAATTGAGCACACATCCATGCAATCTCCATAGACAAACACTGGCAGTATACTTACCTTACTGAAGAGCTCAGTGACTTTCACATAGGATGCCACCTTTGCAACAAGTCAGTCAGATTTCTGCCCTGCTAGAGCTGCCCCGCTCAACTCTAAGTGCTGTTATTGTGAAGTGGAAACGTCTAGGAGCAACAACGGCTCAGCTGCGAAGTGGTAGGCCACACATGCTCACAGAATAGGACCGACGAGTGCTGAAGCGCGTAAAAATCGTCTGTCCTCGGTTGCAACACTCACTACCCAGTTCCAAACTGCCTCTGGAAGCAACGTCGGCACAATAACTGTTCGTCAGGAGTTTCATGAAATGGGTTTCCATGGCCGAGCAGCAGCACACAAACCTAGGATCACCATGCATAATGCCAAGTGTCGGCTGGAGTGGTGTAAATCCACCTCTACGCAGACGACACCATTTTGTATACATCTGGCCCTTCATTGGACACTGTGTTAACAAACCTCCAAACGAGCTTCAATGCCATACAACACTCCTTCAGTAGCCTCCAACTGCTCTTAAACACTAGTAAAACTAAATGCATGCTTTTCAATCGAACGCTGCTGGCACCTGCCCACCCGACTAGAATCACCACTCTTGACGGGTCTGACCTAGAGTATGTGGACAACTACAAATACCTAGGTGTCTGGTTAGACTGTAAACTCTCCTTCCAGACTCACATAAAGAATCTCCAATCCAAAGTTAAATCTAGAATCGGCTTCCTATTTCGCAACAAAGCCTCCTTCACTCATGCTGCCAAACATGCCCTCGTAAAACTGACTATCCTACCGATCCTTGACTTCGGCGATGTCATTTACAAAATAGCCTCCAACACTCTACTCAGCAAATTGGATGTAGTCTATCACAGTGCCATCCGTTTTGTCTCCAAAGCCCCATACGCTACCCACCACTGTGACCTGTACGCTCTTGTTGGCTGGTCCTCACTACATGTTCGTCGTCAAACCCACTGGCTCCAGGCCATCTATAAATCACTGCTAGGCAAATCCCCGCCTTATCTTAGCTCATTGGTCACCATAGCAGCACCCACCCGTAGTCTGCGCTCCAGCAGGTATATCTCACTGGTCATTCCCAAAGCCAACACCTCCTTTGGCCGCCATTCCTTCCAGTTCTCTGCTGCCAATGACTGGAACGAATTGCAAAAATCTCTGAAGCTGGAGACTCTTATCTCCCTCACTAACTTTAAGCATCAGTTGTCAGAGCACCTTACCGATCACTGCACCTGTACACAGCCCATCTGAAATTAGCCCACCCAACTACCTCATCCCTATATTGTTATTTATTTTGCTATTTTGCACCCCAGTATCTCTATTTGCACATAATCTCTTGCACATCTAGCATTCCAGTGTTAATACTATTGTAATTATTTTGCACTATAGCCTATTTATTGCCTTACCTCCATAACTTGCTACATTTGCACACACTGTATATATATTTTCTGTTGTATTTTTGACTGTTTTTTACCCCATATGTAACTCTGTGTTGTTTTTATCGCACTGCTTTGCTTTATCTTGGCCAGGTCGCAGTTGTAAATGAGAACTTGTTCTCAACTGGCTTACCTGGTTAAATAAAGGTGAAGGAAAAAAAAAAAAAAAAAAAAAGCTCGCCGCCATTGGACTCTGGAGCAGTGGAAACGTGTTCTCTGGAGTGATGAATCATGCTTCACCATTTGGCAGTCCGACGGACAAATCTGGGTTTGGCGGATGCCAGAAGAACGCTACCTGCCCGAATGCATAGTGCCAACTGTAAAGTTTGGTGGATGAGGAATAATGGTCTATTTTTCATGGTTCTGGCTAGGCCCCTTAGTTCCAGTGAAGGGAAATCTTAACGCTACAGCATACAATGAGATTCTAGACGATTCTGTGCTTCCAACTTTGTGGCAACAGTTTGGGGAAGGCCCTTTCCTGTTTCAGCATTACAATGCCCCCGTGCACAAAGCGAGGTACATACAGAAATGGTTTGTCGAGATCGGTGTGGAAGAACTTGACTGGCCTGCACAGAGGCTTGACGTCAACCCCATCGGACACCTTTGGGATGAATTGGAACGCCGACTGCAAGCCAGGCCTAGTCACCCAACATCAGTGCCCGACCTCACTAATGCTCTTGTGGCTGAATGGAAGCAGGTCCCCGCAGCAATGTTCCAACATCTAGTGGAAAATCTTCCCAGAAAAGTGCTGTTACAGCAGCAAAGGGGGGACCAACTCCATATTAATGCCCATGATTTTGGAATGAGATGTTCGATGAGCAGGTGTTCACATACTTTTGGCTATGTAGTGTATTTAGCTACCTTTTTAACCTCTTAGATGTAAAGTCCCCTTTTTAGGGGACCTCCATGGTTCTGTTACCGGTTCTGACCGACATTTTGACTTATAAATCGATCTGTGGACAACATAGATTGAAATGGCTTGCATTGAGTGATAGCCCTGGTTCCCATGGACACAATAGTATGTTTTACACCTGTGTGTCATAGGATGTGAAATCTGAAACCACTTGAAGCTGGGATGTCCCTCCTACCATTTTTATTCGTTCTTCCGACTGCCCATCAACTCCTGGCTGAACACTATGTCACAGCCACTGACAAGGCACATGCCTGCACCCTTACATCAGAGATGACAAATTCAAAGATGGCCTACTTTTCTATACTCAAGGGGGAGAGAGACAAACATAGCTTGACTGTTGTTTTGCTATTAACCTCAATGCTATTGTTTTTAATTTCGTAAAGCTGCTTGTAGAAGGCGGTTGACTGGTTAGCTACGGGCAAGCAAAAGAGTTGCCTGCGCGATGTTTATGAGTCGGAGACGGCCTGCCTGTCTGCCCACACTCATTGATGTAGGCTGTGTGGCATGTCCTTACCACTGCTGAACAGACCAGACCCCTCGCTGCACTGTGCACCTAGTGCTGCTAATAATCTGCTTATCATAGCCTATCCAGTCCAAGTGCAAATACAAGTCGCGAGTTCGAGTCACCAGTGGTCGAGAAGGCGAATCACAAGTAATGAAAATCGTGTGCTGGACTCGAGTACTTCAACACTGGTCTGAATAAATTGTTTAGTTTTCAATGTCATTCAAGGAAGCTTCAAGGGATCCAACATAAAAGATAATATAAGCAACTTTACAAGGTCAGGCAGAAATGCAATTGATGGAATGAGACTACTTGGTCAAGAAGACGACTGTTAGTCAAGACTACTGCCAGTGAAGTCAACCTTACCCTTTTTTTCAGACCAACTAGCAAAACTATGGAAATGCTTTTCAAGTACAGTTTGACTTGCATGTCACCACTTTTGTTAGTCATTTTATTGTGGTGTTATGGGAGAGTGGGTTAGTGATCAAATGGGCACTCCCCGCAGACTCTTCTTAAAAGCAGGGCTCGACATTAAAGCTTGGCCAGGCAAGTAAAATTTGATTTGTTTAACATTTTTTTTGGTTACTACATGATTCCATATGTGTTATTTCATAGTTTTGATGTCTTCACTATTATTCTACAATGTAGAAAATAGTAAAAATAAAGAAAAACCCTTGAATGAGTAGGTGTGTCCAAACTTTTGACTGGTACTGTATATTAACCTACACCTAATAAGAGAGGAGGATGAGTTGCTCTGCAGCCCATGATGATTAACAACCCATCACAAGACCCACAGCCAGCGAGGCTGGTTGACTGTGTGTCATTTGCAAAAAAATTGGGGGGTGGCCGCTAGGGGGGGTGATAACATTGTCTACAGGCAAGCACAGAAAATGATTTCACATCCCTGCTATGTACTTACATTTACTTCACTCATTTTAAGTCACCATTTTGGCCGATGGTGTTATTTTTTTTTGGGGGGGGGGACAAGTGACTACAGCTTTTGGACAAGTAAAAAACCAGTCCTACTTGTGGCAAAAAAAGTTAATGCCAAGCCCTGTAACGTAAATGTCCTTTTCATGTCTCTTCTGATCAGCCAACTTCCCAGACTCTGTGGTGGAGCACCTGCCTGGCGACATCAGCACAGGGATCTACTATGGCTGGGCGTGCGTGGACACCGGAGACATCCACAAGATGGTGATGAGCATCGGCTGGAACCCCTACTACAAGAACACCAAGAAATCCATGGCAGGTCCAGCTTTCCCACCCATATAGGCTAGAAAAGTATATAGGCCTATACAGTTGTGGCAGAATATATTGGCACTGCTTAAATAATTCCCTATTTCTTCTAAAATAAGTTGAAAAATAATTTTTTTTATTGGATTCGCAACATTGCAGAACAAATTGTATTTGTGTAAACTTAAGTTTACAATTTAAATGTTAAAATTAAAGACAACTGGCCTGGACAACATTATTGGCACCCCGGAGCTAGTACTTGTTTGCACAGCTTTGGCCAAGATAACAGCAGACAAATACCTATTGTAGCTATCAATGAGCTTGCTGCACCTTTTCTACTGGCAATTTGGCCCACACTTCAGCAGCAAACTGTTTTAATTCTTCAATATTTGAGGGGTGCCCTCCACCAACTGCTGTTTTCAGATCTCGCCATAGGTTTTGGATGTGACTTCAGATCTGGACTCTTTGCTGGCCACTCCAGAACAGTCCAGTGTTTCTTCTTAAACCATTCCTGGGTGATTTGATGTATGCTTGGGGTTGTTGTCCTGCTGGAAGACCCAAAACCTTCAATGGAGACGCAGTTTTTGGACACTGGGTTGAACATTAGACTCAAACACCTTAATAATCTGCTGACTTCATGATGCCTTGCGCACATTCAATGCTCCTAGTACCAGAGGCAGCAAAGCAACCCCACCGCATTATCAATCCTCCCTGTGTTTGATTGTAGGGAGGGGTGTTCTTTTCATTGAATGCTTAATTTGGCCGTCGACGCTACTAGCTATTATTAGCTGCTAACTAGTGACGTGACTTTCATTAATATGATGACTGTTATTTATCGAATCAACTAACTACATTTAATTGTTACTCTTTTTTAAAATTAATCATGTAACAATTAACTAATTAGGATTTGGAGCACCACGGAATAAGTTGTTTATAGTTACCATCTCCCAAATTAAACTCTAAAAGGTCTTTACCTATCACTATGTATAAAACAGTCAACGTATCAATCATTACCTCTTATCAGTCTCATTCTGAACAGTCGTAGACTTCTTGGATCTGCACGAACCCCAGCTTTACTTATAATTCAGCAATACACAAATTGGCTTAATTACTTATTTACTAGCTAACTAAATAATAACACAGAAAACATACGTACTTAATACATGAGGATAAAGTCCCTAGCAGACTAACGACAGCATGACTGCTTGGTTATCAAAAGAGAGAGGGGTAGATAGGGAGAGACAAAGAGCGAGTCAAACTTATCGTTGATACATTTGGAAGCTACCCTCAAAGTAATCATAATACTTTGCTCACAAACCACCGCACTTTTTGGAGTAAGAAACCAATTAATGTATTTACGTGTTTGCCGCTCGTCTAGCTCTGTTGACCCAAGCCCTCTTGGAAAGGAGGTTTTGGCTGGGTCTTCGCTCAGCTCACTTGTAAGGCTCTGATTGTCCACCAGAGGTCACAATGTCCTTCTTTGTTCTGGCTTGTAGTGGAGTGTACTCAGAGCAGATACTCAGTGATTGTCTGAGGTGGGATTTTCTTCTTCCCACCTCGTGTCTTTAGTCAAAGTTCTAGGTCACTTTACACGCACAGCTGCAGACTGGCAATGTTCTGGTCTAGTGAGTTTATCTTCACCTTGTGTTGAGATTCAAAGGTCTAACCATTTTAAGCCGTATAGCCACAGCTCCACGCTTTCTGGTCTAATGTAAATTTTGTTACCAAGGCTTTTTATGCACTCTGGTAAAAGGGGCATTCCTACTTGCTTACACGGTCTCTGAGCTCACTCGGGGCTTGGCTACTGACTTTGCATAGCTTAAATGAAAACCTATGATCTCGTTAGTACTAAAATCACATTCATATCTTAACAAATACTTTCATAATTTTTCATTTCATATACACAACATATTGGATGAAGACTTGACAGATAGAATGTGTATACTTTCCAAATTACAGTACTTTCTTGATACCATCCTTAATGACATCACAAAATAATAAACAATATGACATGATTATTCTTTAGATCCCCACTGACCATTCCCCACATTCTGTTTTTGGAGACAAAGCACATTCCTTTCAATACTGAAGAGCAAGGGAGAGACTCCACTCCTGCCTAATTTACGACCGAGTGTTAAGGTGTAAAAACCGGCCCAGCCCCACTTCCCCTCTTCTGTGGGTGAGAGGGTCTGATTGTTGTCAGCCATTTGACAAGCTGATCTGAGACCTTTGGATCCTCTGCCAGAGGAGTCATGACACTAGCTAACCTAAGCTAGCTAGCTAACCTTATGCTAACATGTCTTCCAGTAGAAAGGTGCAGCAAGCTCATTGGCTACAACAAGCATTTGTCGGGAGTCATCTTGGCCCAAGGCTGTGCAACCAAGTACTAGCTCCAGGGTGCCAATAATTGTGGCCATGCCGTTTGCCGTTATTTTCTAAATTTAAAATTGTAAATGTAAGTTTTACAAAAAGAAAGTTCTGGAATGTTGGAAATCCAATAAAAATGTGTGGAGACAGTGTTTTTCAATGTCAACTTATTTTAGAAGAAATAAGGAATTATTTTTAAAGGTACAATATGCAAAAATCGCTCTGACATTTCCTGGTTGCAAAAATTCTAATAGTTTGCCTAATTTCAGTTGTGACAAAACAAGCAATGCATGGTGTATAGAACCGCTGTAAAATATATATTTTAAATAACCAAAACAATTGTATTTTCAGCTGTTTGAAGCTGGTGTACAAAACCGAAAGTAAAAGACGCAAAAGCGAAACTTAAGATCGGGAAGCATAAAAATAGAACAGATCGACCGCTTCTTAGACTTGCTTACAATGAGAATGACAGATCTATAGTTACTTTTTTATTGTCACGTGCACAGGTACAGTGAAATGCCTTTCTTGCAAGCTCCAAACCCAACAATGCAGTAATCAATATCAATGTAGCACAAAAAATTACAATAAATAAGTTCTAGGCCTCCCGAGTGGCGCAGGGGTCTAAGGCACTGCAGTTTTTGAGGCGTAACTAGAGACCCGGGTTTCATCCCAGGCTGTGTCACAGCCGGCCGTGACCGGGAGACCCATGAGGCGGTGCACAATTGGCCCAGCGCTGTCCGGGTTAGGGGAAGATTTGGCCTGTCAGGATTTCCTTGTCCCATCGCGCTCTAGCGACTCCTTGTGGCTGACCGGGCGCCTGCAAGCTGACTTCGGTCGCCAGCTGGATGGTGTTTCCTCCGACACATTAGTGCGGCTGGCTTCCGGGTTAAGCGAGCAGTGTGTCAAGAAGCAGTGCGGCTTGGCAGGGTCGTGTTTCGGATGACGCATGGCTCTCGACCTTCGCCTCTCCCGAGTCCGTAGGGGAGTTGCAGCGATGGGACAAGACTGTAACTACCAATTGGATATCACGAAAAAAGGGGTAAAATGAATATACACTGCTCAAAAAAATTAAGGGAACACTTAAACAACACAATGTAACTCCAAGTCAATCACACTTCTGTGAAATAAAACTGTCCACTTAGGAAGCAACACTGATTGACAATAAATGTCACATGCTGTTGTGCAAATGGAATAGACAACAAGTGGAAATTATAGGCAATTAGCAAGACACCCCCAATAAAGGACTGGTTTTGCAGGTGGTGACCACAGACCACTTCTCAGTTCCTATACTTCCTGGCTGATGTTTTGGTCACTTTTGAATGCTGGCGGTGCTTTCACTCTAGTGGTAGCATGAGACGGAGTCTACAACCCACACAAGTGGCTCAGGTAGTGCAGCTCATCCAGGATGGCACATCAATGCGAGCTGTGGCAAGAAGGTTTGCTGTGTCTGTCAGCGTAGTGTCCAGAGCATGGAGGCGCTACCAGGAGACAGGCCAGTACATCAGGAGATGTGGAGGAGGCCGTAGGAGGGCAACAACCCAGCAGCAGGACTGCTACCTCCGCCTTTGTGCAAGGAGGAGCAGGAGGAGCACTGCCAGAGCCCTGCAAAATGACCTCCAGCAGGCCACAAATGTGCATGTGTCTGCTCAAACGGTCAGAAACAGACTCCATGAGGGTGGTATGAGGGCCCGACGTCCACAGGTGGGGGTTGTGCTTACAGCCCAACACCGTGCAGGACGTTTGGCATTTGCCAGAGAACACCAAGATTGGCAAATTCGCCACTGGCGCCCTGTGCTCTTCACAGATGAAAGCAGGTTCACACTGAGCACGTGACAGACGTGACAGAGTCTGGAGACGCCGTGGAGTACGTTCTGCTGCCTGCAACATCCTCCAGCATGACCGGTTTGGCGGTGGGTCAGTCATGGTGTGGGGTGGCATTTCTTTGGGGGGCCGCACAGCCCTCCATGTTCTCGCCAGAGGTAGCCTGACTGCCATTAGGTACCGAGATGAGATCCTCAGACCCCTTGTGAGACCATATGCTGGTGCGGTTGGCCCTGGGTTCCTCCTAATGCAAGACAATGCTAGACCTCATGTGGCTGGAGTGTGTCAGCAGTTCCTGCAAGAGGAAGGCATTGATGCTATGGACTGGCCCGCCCGTTCCCCAGACCTGAATCCAATTGAGCACATCTGGGACATCATGTCTCGCTCCATCCATCAACGCCACGTTGCACCACAGACTGTCCAGGAGTTGGCGGATGCTTTAGTCCAGGTCTGGGAGGAGATCCCTCAGGAGACCATCCGCCACCTCATCAGGAGCATGCCCAGGCGTTGTAGGGAGGTCATACAGGCACGTGGAGGCCACACACACTACTGAGCCTCATTTTGACTTGTTTTAAGGACATTACATCAAAGTTGGATCTGCCTGTAGTGTGGTTTTCCACTTTAATTTTGAGGGTGACTTTCAAATCCAGACCTCCATGGGTTGATACATTTGATTTCCATTGATCATTTTTGTGATTTTGTTGTCAGCACATTCAAATATGTAAAGAAAAAAGTATTTAATAAGATTATTTCATTCATTCAGATGGAGGATGTGTTGTTTTAGTGTTCCCTTAATTTTTTTTATATAAATAAGAACACAAAGTAAGAACCTATATACAGGGTCAGTTCCA